GCAGGCTTTGTTTGAGCAGCTGATTGGCAGAGCGGGCGTTGCTCGTTGTAAATCCGATTCTGCCAGGATATCTCTTCTGCGGTCGAACATCTCCAGGGTACTAGCAGAGATCCAAGCCTTTATAGGGCCTCGCGTTAGGCCTCAGATTGATCTCCCGGAAGTTATCATTACCTTCTACATACAAGTCCAATGTTGCTCAATGTGATACGGTGGATGGCAGCTGAGTGCGTCTGTCATTGAAGATTGATAACTCGCCTGGACCGAGGAAACAGTCAATCTTTTCGCGTTAATCTTTCAGTGTATCGTCTTTGTGGACTGCGTAAAACATGCAGATTTTCGCAACGACCATCGCATGATCTGTGTCAGTGAAAGTGGACCAAAATCAACTGCGTCCTCCTACGCTGCCCCACTTGAAACCGTTTGCAATGTGATCAGTTTGAGACTACATTTGTGTTGATGAAGAGAGATACCAAGTTGCGGAACGTTTCTTCCTATGGTCGTGTGTGGTGGCAACATCGAGTTCTCAGGGATGACAATGAACAATGAATTTCTTGGGGTTAAGAAGTGCTGCTTTGCATGTTCCTTTGGATAGTTAGTTATCAAAATAATAATGATATTGATAATAATACTAATAATACAGTACTGTAAATATGAAAAGAAGGACTTATCGTTTGCTCCGCTGTAGTTCTGCAATCCGCGTAGATTCACAGCACTCACACTTAACATCAAATAAATCTAAGAAACACTCCATGAATAGCGCTAAGTAACAAAGTGGATGAGTGCCTCATGCAGCCATTTTTTTAATACTGTTATTGTCGGTGCAGGGACGACCGATTCAGCGAGAGCATTCCACGCATGACATACACGAATGGAAAAGAAATCCCTGTGGCGCTCCAGACAGCTATACTGTCCTGCGAGTTTCAATGAGTGACCCCTCAGATTTGTATTAAATAAATAACTAACTTGTATATTCCTCGACGATGCGAGAAACTGTTCCCTAAACGTAACAGATCAAATAATGGTACAACCATTACATGACATCACACTAATACATTTTCAGAAAAAGACATGGGCGCAATTGCAAATTAGGTAACACAGAGTAATCAGAATCGTTCTGCTATTTTTTTCCTACCATTGAATCAGGGTACTTCACAATCGCGTGACAGATTTTTGGGCCGAGAAAAAATGTAATGAAAGTGACTGTTATCCGAAATACTATGTGTATGTGTTTCGAAAATTTATTCAGGCACCATGGATACCGTTTTCGAATGCGTTATCTAGCGACTGTGATGTCCTGAACATATTAATCATGCTTTGTACAGTTAAATGCTTACTAATCGCAAGCTTATAATTGCAAAGTGTATAGCAGGTCCTGATATCACTTGGAAGTTTGTTCCAAATCTTTGAGTATTGGGTTAGAAAGAAACGTTTTCTGATTCTCACAGTAAATTTTGGAATCATGACCTTTACCACTTTTGTTACTTATTGGATAACTGCTGTTTAAAGATATGTGAACACCGTTTTCAAGACTGCGAATTTGACAATTTATGATTCTGTAAAGAAAAGCTAGGTTCAGCTTCATTATCCGAAGCCAAACTGGGTCAAATCCAAGTTTATCACATCGCTCTCTGTATGTCAACGTTGAGGAATATCCACATAGCTTTTTCGTGAAGCGTCTCTGGACCCTCTCAAGAGCATGCTGGTCAGATTTCCGCAGATTATACTTACCATTGAACAGTATTCAATACACGGAAATACACAGTTTTTGTAAAGCGATATGCGAGATTCCCTGAGGTAAAAATGATGGCAGGTATAACCGATGATCTTCATGGCTTTCCAAACTTGAAAGTCACAGTGTTCAGAAAAGTTAAACGTGACGGAATATCGCACGTCCAATTTGGGAACTGCCCTGCATTGTGAGATATATGCGTCTTGTAGTAATAAACTGTCTGGTGGTAATTGGCATTTGTACGACAAAATATTGCACTTGTCCAGAGCAAATGACACCTGCCACAGTTCACACCAGGAGTCAAGGACAGATAGGTCATCCTGAATGAGACGTAAGGCTTCCTGAGTATTTGCACGTGCTTGTGAGTCGACAACTTTAATGTCATCAGTAAAGATAAATGCAACACTATTTCTTATTCTCTGAGATATATCGTTAGTATAAATTAGAAAAAGAAGAGGACCAAGAACACTCCCTTGAATCACTCCACTAGTGATGGCTTTCGGTTTAGAGAAATGGTCGCCTGTGCGCACCACCTCCTGTCTACCAATTGGATATGAAGCTAGCCAAGAGAACAACGGTTCCCCATTGCCTATGGCCTTCAGTTTGTTTAGTAACCTTCTGTGAGGCACTCTAACAAAGGCTTTTTACATATCCAGGAACGGGATTACGACACTGTTTCCATTGTCAATGGTAGCCGTTGTGTGGTTTAAGTGTCTGGCATGTTACGCAGGATCGACCTTGAATGAAGCAGTGTTGCGAATTGCTGATGATGTTATCGTTCTTCAAGAATATAAATAGTTCATCTTTCACTATTCTACTGAGTTGCAGTAAGGAGCGGCACACATGATGTGGATCGTGCAGAATCCAGTACGCCATAATCAGGTCGCTTCATAATCTGCGATACCGTCCGCTGAATACCCCCAATCGTTTCAGCCTGTCCTCTTATGAAACTGCGCATTCCAATTACATTCTTAAATGTCCGACGTTTCGGCTGCTACAGCGCGTTAAGGTCATGTTTTAATCATGCATGCCAGGCCTGAATTGTGTATTCGACGTGCGGGCGAACGTACACATTGAGCATTTGTCGAAAAATAGAGCTGTCTTTTTGTCCGAATGCCTCTCGCAACAGTCTGACGTGTTGGTTTCCAGTCTTCGAGACCTTTTCGCATTGCCTGGAGCAACCAGTCATCGTGAACCAGCACACCAAAGTCACGTTCGACAGTTAATTGTTGCAGTGCATTTGTTCCGAGCCTGTATGAGTAGTTTCTCTGATGACGTAGGGAGAGTACCATGTATTTACTCACGGTGAAACGTAGTAAATTTTTGGCTGACCATTGATGTACCGTGCCTCGGTCACTGAATCAGATGCTGGTCAGCATTCACCTGAATCCTGCGCCAAGTCTTGATATCATCGGCAAACATCAAGAAGTTTGAAGCGATTGCCTTTACGAGATCATTAATAAACACCAAAAATAGACGTGAACTTAGAACTGAGCCTTGCGACACACCACACTTGACTTGTATGGAATTCAGTAAAGAGCTCTGAACTCTGACCACCAATTGCTGCTGAAGTAACAAGTTGGAAATCCAGCTAAGAAGATCGTCGCCGACCCCGCAATACTGGAGCTTGAAAAGTGGTATCCGATGGTCTAGACAATCGAAAGCCTACGAAAAATCCAGCTAGATAACATCAACATCTTTTCTAGCGTTACTTGACTCTGTTTAACTACTCCGTGCGATCAGTAAATTCGATGTACATGATTGCTGTCGACAGAAACGGTACTGCTCGTGCGTGATGTTGCAGTTTTCCAGATAACACATCAGTGTATCGGCAACTGTTGATTCCATGACTTTAGAGAGTATATGGAGACATAATACTGGGTGGTATTTGTCACTTTATTGGGTTGAGTATTTCGATCAATATGTGGCTTTTTCCATCACCTGTTGTCTTCGCCTACATGGGGACAGGATTGGCTCACACCATCTTCGACCTAATCGACACATCCAGTGTGTAGGCTCTTTCTGACCCTGCTAATAGCTCGCATCAAGCTGAATCCGATGGATGTATACACAGCGTGCACCGCTGATACATGTATGCGATCGTTAGACATTCGGGATCCGTGTCCTCTTGTGCAAAAGGTGGGGAGTGGTGAGGGGAAGTTTCGTTTTAGTTATTTGTGATGCTGTAGGCTCGCGGTGCACATTTCCATTACAGAGCACTACATTAGTCTATAACTGCTGTAAAGACTGTGTACAGTCAATATCCGGGAACCTTTGTGATCAGCTTGCAGATATGGGAAACCACTCGGGCAAACAGCTTGTTGGTTTTTGCAGACAGTCATCCTACTCATTAAGTCACAGGCCTCAATGCGAGCCTATTGCATCGATGGGACATGACATCTGCGGTCTTACCTCGCCGCTGACCCCCAAATTACTTGGCCGAGGCGAACCTTGGGTGCAATTTTTGCCCTGTTATTTGTGTGGAATACTTTCGCCATACATGACGATTGTTTCACCAATGTCTTTCTGGGTGCTTACATTCGCACAGTAGGTTCAGATTATTTCTCAAGATGTTTGATAACGTACTATGTCTGGATCATTAACGGGTCTGAAGATGCAGTCTCAGCTTTAGTTGCATCATCTTCTAGTCAGTGCTTCATCTAAATGATACCTCCTGCAGTCACCCGAAATAATATTTTAACGTTTTTTTCAGTAACGAGTGCGAACCTCTATTCTCTTTGGTTCCCAATTACCCTTCCGTATCTTTTGCTAAGTTTTTATTCTATTCTCTCTGACCAGATGGGCAATGTCTTGGCGATTTCCGCATATGTTCTCTTGCTCCAACTCGATAACATGTTTTGTACACTAAGTTTCTTTGCATCGTTCTTATGCTTTCATCAAGGGTTTGATTTCGTAAATGATTTAAATCACAGATTTCGGTAGCCGATATATGTGGTGTTGCGCTGCCGTCGCCCATTTCCTCCCAACTTTTAGACTAGATGCGTCACCGAACATTTTATAGCACATTTTGAATTTTGCGAAATTTGGGTTTTGCTTCTTTGTGTATATCATTAGTTTACCCCCTTTCCAGCAAGAAGTGTATGTGAGATCAAGGTAGGACTGCTTCCGTATGTAGTTTTGGTGACTTTAATTTAGCTGCGATCTGTCTGGATGTAGACCGTCTACCTGGAACACTTCTCTACTACTGTTCTTTATTACTATTTCGTATTACCGGTCATGAGTTACGCTGCGTAACTGCATTTTCTCTCAGCATTTCGGTACAGTTCCCGGAAGGACAGCTCACATCGATTATGGGGAGCGTAGGCTCTGGAAAATCCAGTTTGCTTCGTGCATTGCTTGGTGATATGGAGGTGTTCAGTGGTCGCCTAAATATAAGGGTAAGTGTTCAGTTTCTAAAACCAGCCACACATCACCATACGTTTCCCTGTTTTTACCTCGTTAATACTATTTCATATACTAGTATGACCTCACTGGGCACCTAGTCTGCGGCTGAATACTCCCCATTCTAGTTGGATTACGCACTTGCATTAATACACTTCATTCATCTTTCTGACCCACACTCAAACCAATTGGAAGCTTTCATATCCCACTTAGTTCTGCTGCATGCACCTACCACTCAACGGAATTGTATTATTTGGTTTTTTTGTAGGGCTCCGTTGCCTATGTGCCACAGGAACCATGGATCTTTAACGATTCTCTGAGAAACAACGTACTATTTTTGAAGCCTTATGATCCTGTACGGTACAAGCGAGTTATTCACGCTTGCGGCCTCGATCCAGACCTCCTCATTTTGCCAAATGGAGATCAAACAGAAATTGGGGATAAGGGCATCAATTTATCTGGTGGTCAGAAGCAGCGAGTCAGGTACACATTTAATAACCATATGTTTCTTTGTGCACGTGGCGTTGTTAATCATACAATGTTCTTATGGATTGTGCAACTGCGTCACACTGTGCACCGCAGTTCGTGCTGCAAGCGCACGTTTAACATATTCGATGAATCTTACTTGAAATATCTTCTGTTTGGTGGTATATATGCCACCAAACCGTGGAATGATTTTGGTCATCTACTTTTTCGCACACAGGTAAAACAGCCGAGGTATCTGACTATTTGGTTACCGTACATAGGTCTGAACAATATTCTGTATTTCTAGCTTTCTTTCGCACGGAGAAGTCATCCCCACATCAAAGTATTTACTGTAGTTTACTTAGCAAGACCCGTTTTTCCAATCGTCACCAGGCGTTGATCACTATTAGGCCAATCGAACTCAAATCTTTTTCATTGTTTCTTTAGTAGTCGTTAGCTGGGGGTATTCAATGTATTTTTGAAATTCATTTGTGATTGGACCGCCGATAGGTTGAAACTCGTATACTGCTGAGATGCACCCGTGTTATTCCGGAATGTCGATCTAATGATATTCGTCCAAGATGAATAGCCAACGAATAGCTCATAGCAGATCTGACACGCGATATTTATCTAATTACATGTCTCATATTTATCCACAATTCGAATGTTGACGGATGGCAGTAGGAACTTATGTCATTCTTGTTGGTCTGCAGCGAACTCGCAGACAACCGACTACTTCCGCATCAGGCAATGAGTAAATTACGTGACCAATCTGCATGCCGCTTCGGATCTACTAACTCTTCGTTCTTCTTTTAATATGATAAGCAATTTTTGTAGAGATGCATAACAGGCGTAACAATACCAAGTAAAAAGTAGAGGGTTAATATTACTTTCGTAGAAATCCAGTGCTTTGCGAGAATTCCTAAAAATAGAGACGTTTCCATAGGGTGAATATTACAGTTACAAACAATGTAATCTTCTAATCCCCCTGCTACGTTTTTCTAATCACTGTGCAGATCAGACTACTTACACCGCCATACATTAATTGGCGGCTTACGTTTGTTTTGTTTCTTCGCTTGGCGTTTGGGTTACCCTGTCCTCTGCATGGCACTAACATGCAAGCCGGTGGATAGTCGGTGGCGCTACATCGCATCTAGTAATTTGTCAAGATGGTCGTTGCCGTCCCACGTATCCCATTGGTTTGAACCACGGACTGGTATAGTCGGGTTGCGGGTTTTAACCCCACTGCTGACGGTTCCCCAAATGATTCAACGGTCGTGCAGTGCTTTTCCTAGCATGTCACGGTTATCTGACTGAATCTAAATCAAATAGATTTCAACATAATCTTTAGTTCGGATGTGCGGTAAAACATAAACATGTACATGCCACTGCATTGGAAATCAGGGTTAGATCACCATCACACGCGACTAATTGGAGGCAGTCTGAGAAATGAGCGGATGGGTGCACATTTCTTTTCACGACTCCATTCGCCTACACCAAGTAACTCACCTGCCCCATCTATATTTCATTAATAATACCTTAAAATGTGCCAAAGATTGTCAACGGTAACCTTCAGAAGTGATGTCCAACTGCTGATTGTGTGAATTATATCTGCTTCTGAAAACGCTACTGTTTAATCATCTCAGTTTGGAGTCGTTTGCAGGGCTTTTTTGATGACCATCATCTGTTTTCAGTATGGCGTGGAATGCGAACATTTATTGTTACTGGTGACATGTCGTGTCATGTCTTGGGCTTCGAATAACGCCGTGAACGCCTTTGCGCGATCGAAACTTACCGGGTGCATATTATTATTCTGCTTGTTTGAATCTACTGACAGCAACGTGTGCACCCTAAAGGCCATATTCAGACCACATTTTCACCCCCAGTACTGTCTATTTTTCTATAACCTGCATATGGTTCATACCAATGCAATAGTGTTGAGCAGTTTGAGATACCTATCTAGGCTATGATCAAACAGTATGCGCCGAACGCTACTCACTCTCCCTCCTTCAGCCTAACAACCCGATTCGACGCTTACTCGTCATCTAACTTCATAGTCCACAACGGCGAAACCAAGAGAATTGGATGGCTATCACTGACCAACTAAGTGAATGGTCCTAATGTCGATCAGAAGGATCACTGAGATTATGACGAGGGATATCTGAAACACTTTTTAAGGACCCGAGGTGCAAGCGGAACTGTTTATTGTACAAACATAGCTAGTACCAAGTGCATTCGTTCCGACAAACGAGACATCCACCCATCTTCGTCATCACGGTTGGAGATTGCGTGGTGTGCGTTGCTTCGGTGTCTAGTGTGGCGTACATTGCTTATGTGTCCATTCTATGCGCGCACATTGCCGTTCCCAAGTGTTCCATTCCTTTTGGATAGTTATTATTTCATACTGCTGGCTCATTGCCATTTCTCTTCCTGGTACTTAAGTACTACTGATAATTGGTGCAGTAGGGTCCGCCTTTAGTCCACCACACTCCTCCTCTCCAAAGTGCTCGCCCCAGCTGCCTTCGCTCGGAGTCTTTCTTATCGTCGAGGATTCTCACTGTGCGAAAGGGGTTTCTCCTCTAACTCATTCCATTTCCTCAGCTCACTGGCATATACTCGCCGTGAATCTCCTTGCCGTGCGATTGTATATACTGGGTCTCGCCGGTTGACCACCTCGTACGGTCTCTTCCACTTCGGTAGGATTTTTCTCCCCAGGGCCACGAGTGCTGGTGCGTTGATTATCCTTCTGTGATTGTCCCTTCGACACTCATCTCACCATTGTTGGTCTGAGACTTCTCCATCCTCTGCGCCTGATTTGCTTTCAAGTTACGTTTGGCTGCCATCCTGTTATCCTGTGGCTCTTTGGGAGATATTCGGCCGAATTTCAACAAGATCCACAGGTAGGCGAGGTACTCAACCGTATATCAATTAGAATGGTAATTTCTTTGTGGATGTCTGTTTGGATGCTCGATGGGTCAGCAACAGCAGTGGCAAAGCTTCTTTCCAGTCTTCACTCCTTGCCGCTAGCCACTCTTTAATCGTTCTGTTGTTGCGCTCCGTTAAGCGACTTGTCTGCAGGTGGTATGGGGTTATCTGCACTTTCTTGATACCAAGTTTCTGACAACAGTTCCGTACTTCCTCACTCTCGAAGCACGGACCCTGATCTGTCAATATGGCGTTTGGGATTCCGTGATCCGCTATCAAATGTTTCTTGACGACATGGGTAATGGTGGTCGCCCGTTGATCCGGGATTCCCATTGCTTCAATCCAGCACGTGAAGTGCTCCGTCATCAACAAAATGTATTGGTTGCCCCGCCTGGTCAATGGAAACGGTCCCATCACGTCTATCAACCATAGTTCACCAATTTCTGATACCGGAATCGACATCACTGGTTGTTGTGCTGCTCGGCGGTCGGTTTTCAAGAGCTGCTATTGCTTGCACCAAAGCACGTATGTCTCGGCATCCCTCTTCATGCCCGTCCAATAGGCGCGTTCTTTCAGCAGATCGTAGGTCTTGGAACAACCGGTGTGTGCCATCTCGTGGCAAGAAATAACAAGCCTTCGCCTTAGTTTCCTCGGAAGAACCAACACTGAAGTGTTGCTACCTCCTGGTGTCCACATCAGAATTCTCGCTTCATTTGCTTGTAGTTTTTCGAGGTTTCTCTCAAACGGTCCGAGTTGCTTGAGATGGCTTTCCTTCAGGTCTGATTGACCGCTTATTCGTGCAGTGATCATATGCGCAAGAGTTTGTCACTACGTTGCTCTGCTGCCAACTTTCCCGGATCCTGCACCAACTATACTTTAACACCGAAAGCCACACTCGGCAGTTTATCTTCGTACATCGTGCGTGACAAAAAAATCCGCCGTTTGGTTCTCCTTCCCCGGTACGTGGTTTATCGTGTAATCGTATTCCTGTAGGCGCATCGCCCGTCGCGCTAGTTTTCCCCTGGGGTCTTTGGCGGACTTAATCCATTCCAAAAGCTTGTGGTCCGTTTCGACGTGAAATCGCTGACCTAACAGATATGGCCGCCATTTGTCCAACGCCCAGACGATTGCAAGACATACCTTCTCTATCGTTGAGCATTTTTGTTCTACCGGTGTCAAAATCCTGCTGCCGGACTGAATCGTCCCGTAGCTTTGTTTCAAAACCGCGCCGACTCCGACGTCGCTGGCATCCGTGACCACCGTGACCATCTCTCCAGCAACGGCCAATTTCAGGGTCAGCTCCTGCCTTCCCATTTCCTGTAGAATGCGATCAAAGGCTTGTTGGGCTTCTACAGTCCAAATGATTTTCTTAGCCTGTTTCAGTAGCTTGTACAAAGATGAGGCCAAATCGTTGAATTCTTTGACGAATTTGCTGTAGTATCCAGCACGGCGCACGAACGCTCGGAGAGCGCTTTGTGGTAGGAACTGGGGTGACTTTTATTGTCAATATTTTCTCAGGCAGTGGCTTCAGCTCACCCTGTCCAACTTTACGGCCCAATAAAAGGGCACAAGCCTTTGCAATCTGGGTCTTAGGTCCATTTATGCAGAGTCCTGAAAGCTGAATCCGTTCCAGAAGTGCTTCGGGATGACCGCTGTGTTCCGCCTCTGATTGGCTATACATCACGACATTATTCCTGTACACCGCCACGTTCTCCAAGCCACTCATTAAGCGAAGCATTAAATGTCGGAAGGTAAACCGGGCTCCCGATAATCCAAAAGGTATTCTTTTATTTTGGTATTGTTTTTCACCGACAGCAAACTCCGTTTTTTTAACCTGGTTTGATCGCCAGTTGTCAGTATCCATATCTCAGAACCAGAACCGTGAATATCGTCGACTATTGCAATCTATCAAAAATGTTAGCAGCTGATAAAACTGGAACGAAGCGACTCAAGGAAACTTCATCCAGCCTTCGACGTTCACAGAAATGATACTTCTCATGTGCTTTTTTCACCAAGATAACTGAAGAATTGTATGGGCTGTGCGCATCCAGTATCTCTTGTGCTTGCCTCTTCACCAGCCTCCAGATGGATTC